GTAGAAGGAAATAAGGGAGATGGATGCATGGATGGATGATTAGGAGGAAGGGAGGAAAGAAGGAGGTAGAAGGAAAGGGAGATCGAAGAAAAGAAGGGAAGGAAGGAAGGAAGGAAGGAGGGAGGGAGGGAGGGAGGTGGATAATTGCAAATGAGGAGATAAACCGGGCGTCCACTCCCACTCCCACCGAGCAGGGCAGGCAAGAAAGGCCAAGCGAGGCCGCCACTGCAAGCAGGGGAAGAGGCAGAGAGTAGTCCTTGGACTACAAAGCCCACCATCCAGCTGGAAAGCAGCGCCCAGAGCGCCGCAGGGAGAAAGAGAGAGCGAGAGAACCCGCGGCTGCTTGCATCTGCCAAAGCGGCCGCCTGCCCGAGCTTCTCCCCCCGCCCGATCCCCCATCGCAGCCAACCCGGCCCCACCTGCGCATCCTTCGGGGCGCTTTTAGGCGACGCCATTTTGCCCGCTTCCATCGCGGCGCTGAGCGGCCTCCCGAGGACGGTGGAAGAGAGCATGCGCGGACCAGGCTGCCCGCCCACCCACCCCGGAAGCAACGGGGCGCGTGCGCAGCAGTAGAACCGAAGCCGAGGCTTTCCCGGACCTCCTCCCTCCTCTTACCCTTCCTTTTTCGTGGGTGAGAGTAGGCAAGGGCGGGGGGGGGGGGGGGGGTTGCACCGCAGAGAACGGGGCGTGGAAATGGAAAGGGTGGATTGCAAGGCGTCTCCAGGTAGCCCAACCCTTTTCTGCCAGCCTCCAGGGACAAACTTAAGTAGTCCCCGGATAAAAAAAATAAAATACCCCAATAAAAAAATAAAATAAAAAAATAAAATAAAATAAAATAATAAAAAATTCACGTTGCATTGGCCGGGAATCGAACCCGGGCCTCCCGCGTGGCAGGCGAGAATTCTACCACTGAACCACCAATGCGCCCTTAAAATTAAGGCTTGCGACACTTCCTATAGATTTTCCAGCTGTGCGGTCCAGTCCAGACTACAAAAGGCAATAATTTTATTTACCATCACGAATTAAGCCCAAAATTTCCACCATTCACCAAGTAAGCTTTCGTCCATTTTACGACCTTTCTTCCCACAATTGTTAAGGGAACCACTGAATAACCACTTAACTTAATAACACCGTTATATGGATAGAATAGAGTGAAGTGAATTGAAGGGACTTTGAACGTCTTCAGGTCAAATTCCTTGCTCAAGCAGGACAACCTATACTATTTCACACGTGGCTGTCTGTTCTCTCCTTAAAACTTGCCAGTGTTGGAGCCCCCACAAGTTCTAGTGGCAGGCAGTTCCACGGGTTAATTGTCCTGACTTTTAGGAAATTCCTCCTTAATTCCAGGTTGCTTTTCTCCTTGATGAGTTTCCATCCATTGTTTCTTGTCCTGCCTTCAGGTGCTTTGGACAATAGGTTGACCCCCTTCCCCCCTCTTCTTCTTTAACTGTGAAAAATGGTCATCAGTCACTTTTAACAGTGTCGCTATAATTTCAACTAGTCACTAAAACAAATGTTTATAAGTTGAGGTGTGTCTGTAGTATCAAAACCAACTGGTTGCAGAACTATTCTCTTTTTAATAAGTGACTCATTCAGCAACAAGAAATCTTTCTTTTTCCTCTCTTTCCGGGAGTCAAAATGCAATTCTGATTTTTGCCATCTGTCCCATTCTCTTACAGGCAAAACAAAACGTTAGTACTGATAAAAACGTTCATACTTTTCAGAAGAGATTGGACACATTTGTCTGAAATGGTAGAGGGGGTTGGACTAGAAGACCTCCAAGGTCCCTTCCAACTCTATTCTATTCCAATTCTATTCTAATTCTATTCTATTCTATATTCTATTGTATTCTATTCTAATTCTATTCTAATCTCATTATATTCTGTTCTATTCTATATTCTGTTCTATTCTAATTCTATTCTATATTCTATTCTATTCTATATTTTATGGTATTCTATTCTAATTCTATATTCTATTCTAATTCTTATTATATTCTGTTCTATTCTATTCTATATGCTATTCTATTCTAATTCTATTCTATATTCTATTCTATTCCAATTCTATTCTATTCTATATTATATGGTATTATATTCTAATTCTATTCTATATTCTATTCTAATTCTTATTATATTCTGTTCTATTCTATATTCTTTTCTATTCTAATTCTATTCTATATTATATTGTATTCTATTCTAATTCTATTCTATTCCAATTCTATTCTATTCTATATTGTATACTATTCTAATTCTATATTCTATTCTAATTCTTATTATATTCTGTTCTATTCTATATTCTATTTTATTCTAATTCTATTCTATATTCTATTTTATTCTAATTCTATTCTATATTCTATTTCATTCTATTCTATTCCACATTCTATTCCATTCCATTCTGTTATTCCTATTCTATTCTACTCTACTCTATTCTAAGTTTCTATTCTATTAAAACACTTCTGCCTGTCACACCTTTTAGGATGCGGCTTCTGCCATTGAAGTTCATCCGTTCCAACCACCACCAGAAACAAAGCAAAGCATAATCTTATTTGTTCAGAGCAGAATTCAGTTTGGGGAACCCTGCAAAGGCCACGGGGATGTCAAAACCAGCTTTCACTGCCGGCCAATTTTATTGCAACCTTTCCCACTCTTTTTGCACCCAAACTAGCTTTTCTGGAACTGGCCTAACCGCGATGCGCAACATTGCTCCTGAAATTGTCGAGAGGAATCAGGGTGATTTATTCACATCTGTGAGGGGTTCTTGTTGCTCTCCTGAGTTTGGTTGTTTTCCTGCGCACATTTCCAAACTTTTCATCCCCCTCTCTTTCTCCCCAACCCTCTCCTCTCTTTCTCCTCTCTTTGGGTCTCTCATCTCTCTCCTCTTTCTCTTTCTCTGACTCTCTCTCTCTCCTCTCTCTGTCTCTCCTCTCCCTCTCTGTCTCTCCTCTCCCTCTCTGTCTCTC